CTTCCCTCTTCTGTTACTGATCACCATGTATTTGGCCGTTGTCTCCCTGCTTTTACCTGCTGAATAACCCAGACCATTGGGTCACCCACCACCAAGGCCAGGAAGGACCCCTGGAGAGGAGCAACCTACAGCTTCTCTCCATCCCACCCACACGCGGACCATACAGCTGGACCTCCCCTTCCTTCCCCTGGAATTCCGCTGCTGGGCTCTGGGTTATCCCTCGTCTTCCTCAGGGGGAAAATACCGGGAAGGGCAAATGGGAGGTTTGAAAAAATCAAGACTTTTCCAACCTGGCCCGAGGTCCTCCAGTGGGAGCGGCTGGGCAGCACAGCACCCCAGTCCTGAGCAGCGTCTCCAGCCCCAAAACCTGCATCTGCTCAACCTCCACGGTGGCTAAAAACAGAGCCTAGATTTTTATTTTTACAAAATACATTAAGATAAGTTCCTGTGCTCCCACCAGGAGGAAGTAACTACAGTCCTGTGGACTATCAAGTCCTGTGGAGAAATATCACCGCAGCTTTGGGAGCCAGGATGATGCAGTTCACGGCACAGCCGCCAGATGCTTGGGTAAGGAACCACCTAAACCTGGCTTAGGTACAGGCTCAGCTCTTACCTGCAGAGCCGAGACTTAACACCAGCCGTGCCAGGATGGAAAGCCCCAGAACTTCCAGCCATCACCTATGCAAGGCACAGTCTTTAGCACAAGAACTTCACCATTTATGTAGATTTAACCAGAAAGACCAAGAGCAGAAGCATATTAATCAGTTCTGATTAAGATGGAACATGCATCTTCATGACAACATTCTGTGGATTCAGCATGGCCCTTTCTGAACTCAAGAACCACTGGAATTTCTTTAAAAAACAATACAACGGGGTTAATTTAAAAACAAAAATAGTTTCAAGTCCAAGGCTTGCTCTCAAGCCCTCCCATGCTTTTTTTTTTCACAATTTTCAACTATCATTTTCTTGCTTCTCCTCTGCTCCTGTGGCATGTGCAGGAACAGCTCAGGCAATCTATAAAGGTGATGTATCCTACAGGTAGGATAAGCATCAAGTTGTGTCAAACAGCACAGCAAGGAAACTGAAAAGTGAAGAGAAACAAATGCTTTTTCTAACCCTTACACAACATGGATTTTGTGCGTTGCTTGCAACACCAGAAGGAGGAATAATTTCAGGCGGGTGCTGCTGCATCCTGGTGTCACAGCGGTCACAGCACGCCGGACTGCCTGCATCCCGAGCGTGCCGAGGCAAGCTGGTACGGCAGCACGTGGGGAGCACGGCACGACCCACCGGTGCTCCGAAAGAACCGTCACCCAAGCCCGGAGCTCCTCCTTGGAGCTGGAGGGACCAAAGGCACATCTCCTTGAGACGGACACCAAAATTCAGGATCCCACCTACTGCAAACCAAGCAGCCCCTAATGCTGCAGCCCAAAGCCTCTCCTGAGCGTATTTCACACCAAAATCCATCTTTCTGCCCTCAAAAAGCCGCAGAGATGTGTCTGCGCAGTGGAATTCCAGCAGGACCCAGCCCCAGCCTGCGTATC